GTAATATTTTTATTCAGTAAGGACACATAAAATTGTTAAATTACAGTAAACACATTTATACTGTTAGAAAAGACAAGTGCTGTTTTTTAAACTTTCTATTTATCAAAGAATCTTGAAAAAATGTTTTGCAGTTTCCATGAAAATATTAAGCAGCACATGTTGACAATATTAGGGATGTCACATGAGGAAAGTTTCATATTGATATATAATACAAAACCAGTATTACTGGGAACACCGGGCTTTGGACGCTTTCACTTTCACCTTTGCGAATTTGCAATCTTGGTGTCACAGTTTACATGAAAAGCGAGGCATGGCATACACCGCATGCTTTATTATATAACGACTAAATTACACAAAGTTTTAGATTAGCAAACACTGTAGAACTAAATAAATAAAAAAACAAATAGAAAAGCCTCCCACAATGTAGCATAACATCAGGTAAACAGCAAAAGTCAACAGGGTTTTCAAAGTTAAAACTAAATTGGCTGTAGGTGCCAGTGCTTGCACATGTTCATCTTCTCTGGTTTAAGAAGCAGTCTTTTACATTTCGCTTGGAAATCCTCTGCCATCATTTAATCTCATATTCACATCATTTTTTTAAATCATTAAGTGAAATATGACTCCTGCTGCACTGTGCTGTGACTGATGTCTGAAGGATCTTGTGACACTGAAGACTGCTGAAAATTCAGCTTCATCATCACAGGAATATGTTTTAAGACATATCAAAATTGAAAAAAGTTCATTTAAATTGTAATAATATATTACAATATTACTGTTTTACCATATCAAATATTTTGTATTTCAAAGTATTTTGATCAAATCACAATAATACTGTTAATATATATATAAAAAAAATGTACTGACCCCAAATACTTCAACAGTATTTTATGCCCTTCGACATATATTAGGACTTGTATGTTTTCTGATAACTTTTCATTTCAGTTCAGTCATATCCTGGGCTTCATTTTCAGTTTCCACATTAGCAGGTTTTAAAATTCATTTGATTTAGGTTATCTGGTCCCAAGGCATGCTTTATAATTTTTGTAGTCAGTGTGCAACATGAGAGCAGGCAAAGAATAGGTTTCTTTCAACATGGTTCTTTTGGGATTTCCCAACAAAACCACTATTGTGGGGGTTGAGCATCTCACACTGGGCCTTATTCATAGGTAGAAACCAGTCTAGCTGTAATTTTTTGCCCTGTGTAGAAGTATTTAAAGTACAACTTGTCATTTTTCCGTGGATTAATTGAAGGTTTCAGCTCATTCTACTCCGAGTTGATGAAGGGGCTTGGTGCAGGGACTCGTCTATGGGAACTCGTGGACCGAAAGCCTGAATTTCCTCTCAATGGTAAATAGAACTACCTAAAATAATGCCTAAAATGCACATTAGTTCCTAAGAAAAACTGTTTTATATGTGAACTGCAGTGCCGTAATTATTTTTTGTTGTTTGTTTTTCTTCTTTAGAGGGGCTTGTGTTAAAACCAGAGCAGTTCAAAGGAGAACTGGAGTTTCGTAATGTGTGTTTTGCTTACCCAACAAGGAAGGATTCCACCATCTTCCAGGATCTAAGTCTGTCTGTGCCGGCGGGGTCAGTAATGGCAGTAGTGGGATCCAGTGGTTCAGGCAAATCCACACTGGTGTCACTGTTGCTCCGGCTCTATGATCCTGATTCAGGTGAGAGCTGAAAGTAAGAATATAATGGAATATCTTGATACTTGTATATTGATATCCCAGATATAACAGCAGTGAAAATGTATAGATAAATACATAGTTTTGATTCAAATGCAGGTGTGGTCAGTGTTGATGGCCGTGATATACGAGACTTGAATCCTTACTGGCTGAGGAGTCACATCGGTACTGTAAGCCAGGTAAGAAAAAAAAGAAAATCAGCAAGAAAATCTCCTGCCTCCATTTTACTCATTTCTGTGTGTGAATTTGTTTGTTGTAGGAGCCAGTTCTTTTCTCCTGCTCTATTGCTGAGAACATCGCTTATGGGGCGGCAGAGCCAAGTCAGGTCACAATAGAGGACATCTACAGGGCAGCGCAGATAGCCAACGCTCATGACTTTATCCAGGAATTCCCTAAGGGCTATGATACAGTGGTAGGAGAGAAGGGGGTATTGCTGTCAGGTATGAACAAACCTCTGATACTTCAGTAAAATTCATGTCTGTAACAGGACAAACTTGTCTGTTTATAATTCACCTGACAATGTATGCATAACTACATGGATTTGTTGGAACAGGTGGACAAAAACAAAGAGTTGCTATAGCACGAGCCCTGCTGAAGGTAATCTATCCTCAAGAGTATTTTAGTGAATTTGAAATATTTGTTGTTTATCAAAGAAACATTAAATCTATGTTCTCATGATTTTCACAGAATCCAAAGATACTGTTATTGGATGAAGCTACAAGGTGAGATGCTGTTTGAATACTTCAACTTAGAAATTCACTTGTACTTAAAAATAAATGAACTTAGCAGTAGCATACCAGTTAAAAAAAATAACATTTTCAAACTGTAGAGATCTTCTGAAATAACTTTCCAAATTCGTATATGGGTAACTCCCCACTGTTTCTCACTTTTTATGTAGTTTTAGCAAATACATTGTAATGAAAACAATTTTTTTGTATTTTTAGTCTTTATTCTTATATCCTGGACCACAAAACCTATTTTTCAAAATTGAGATTTATACATAAATAAATAAGCTTTCCATTGATGTGTGGTTTGTTAGGATAGGACAGTATTTGGCTGAGATACAACTATTTGAAAATATGGCATCTGAGGGTGCAAAAAAATCTAAATATTGAGAAAATCGCCTTTAAAGTTGTCCAAATGAAGTTCTTAGCAATGTATATTACTAATCAAAAAATAAAGTTTTGATATATTTACAGTAGGAAATTTACAAAATATCGTCATGGAACATGAACATATCCTAATGATTTTTGGCATAAAAGAAAAATCTATAATTTTGACCCATACAATGTATTTTTGGCTATTGCTACAAATAAACCCCAGTGACTTAAGACTGGTTTTGTGGTCCAGGGTCACACATATATATATATATACAGGTGCATATATATGAAGAGTTCATTTGCAAAAACCGATAAACGTCTCTTTCAAAACAATGACCTGATTGCCGTGCATCATTCTCCACATATAGCGCGATCTGAACCCTAAACACATTTTGTCAAAAAAGCCGGTGTTCTAACAAATAATGCTACCTATCAGATTATGCTACCAGCACTGTATTTTTAATACTGTAAGGGTAGGTTGGGGTAAGTGTACACATTAATAAAGCCTCACACCACATTAATATCATGCTGGAAGCAAAATCTGATAGGTAGTACCTATCAGATTATGCTACCAACACTGTATTTATCCTACTGTAAGGGTAGGTTTAGGGTTGGGGTAGGTGTACACGTTAATAAAGCCTCACACCACATTAATATCATGCTGGAAGCTAAATCTGATAGGTAGCATTTTTCGCTGTCAAATTATGCTACCATCTGTTTTAATGGGAGGTAGCAAAATCTGACAGGGTAGCACAAATCATCAGAACACCGGTATTATCCACTTTCAAGGCATCTCGAGTTCACGTTTTACTGCAGAAGCCGACAAGCGCCCTTGTTGTTTGTGAACAGAAGCCGGCGATAAATCCATTTTAGCGAATTAGCGCGCTGTATTCAGGTCAGGTGACAAGGCTGCCAGTCACTTTGAAAAGACGCACCACTAGCTGAGAGGAGGATCATTTCGACGAACTTGATGAATCTGTGATATCTTCTTCAGGGCATAAAAGGAAAATAAAAGCTGAAACTTTTTCACGGAACCTTGCAAAAGCAGCACGTTACAATGGTGAGGGAAAAGCTCTGTGTATTGCGTGTAATCACATCCATACAGTCTATGATCACAACAACAACGTTTGTCAGGCATCTACATTGTCATCTGAGGAGATTACAAAGATAAAATGAGTGTTTGTTTTTTTTTAACTCTGAAACATGAAATGTGGAGTTACCTGCTTTTGCTATAAAACAATCTTTTAATATATAAAAAAAACATACTTTCAATTAACTTATTATTATTAACTTTTTAAATAAAGTTATTACTTAATCAAAACAACCCAACTGCTTTTTGTTGGATATTACTTGGAATGCACAATAAAAAAAAACATGATTTATGAAAATAAATAAAAATGGAGTTATCTGTTTTTGTAGATGAACTCTTCACTTTTTTCTAGAGAAATGGCATGATGAAACTATTATTAAACTATTATTATTATAACTATATAATAAGACTTGCCCTGGTCTCTGTTTCAGTGCTCTGGATGCAGAGAATGAGTTCCTGGTACAGGAGGCATTAGAGAGGCTGATGGACGGCCGCACCGTGTTGATCATCGCTCACCGTCTCTCCACCATCCAGAGCGCAGACGCCGTGGCTGTGCTGGACCAGCACCACGTGATGGAGATCGGCAGCCACGCCAAGCTCCTTGCCAACGACCAGGGGCTCTTCCGCAAGCTGATGGAGAAGCAGGCCTTCCTGCAGGCCGAGCAGAAACACACTCTCTTCAAATAGGAGTACTTTAAAGACAACAAAGGGAGCGCACACATTCAAACATGTTTAAAGGCATTTCATATGTTTTATTGTGCATTCCGAAAAGACTAAAATGTAGCTATTTATCATAAACTGCCAAGTAACTGGAAACCAGTTGTATACTGATCATTGTTAATTACAATGGCAGACAGTCACAGCTACATGCTGTGGACCTGATTTAATACTTATCCGAGTTGCAAAAAACACTGCTTTTTAAATTGTTTTATTATTGTTTATAGCCCAAGAAAAACATCAATACATTTCAAAAAAAGCTTTGGAAAAGCTTGAAAGGAATATGAGGGCAATTTGAAATATGAGTTACTTGATGCTACTGCTACTACACCGCATGCATAATTATTAGGCACGTTGATATTCTGATGATATTTTTTTTTTCAAGCACATTTTACCAATTCCAAATCACATCAATCTTAATAACTACTATTAATTTTTTTATTTAATTGTTTATAAGTGATATATAATTATGCATGAAGGCTGGAAGTGAAAAACTTATATTCAGGTGTGCAGAATTATTAGGCATGTTTTCTTTTACAGATAAAATGACCATTTATCTTCCAGAATCTGGCAGTAAGTTTTAGGAGCTCATTTTTAGTCCATCTCCTATCCTGAAAAGTCTGTCTTGCAGGATTGACTAAAAACTTACTGCCAGATTCTGGAAGATTAATTCTTCAAACAGTGCTACAAGAGGATGTGGTGCTGGTCCTTCAAGAGTCACTCACAACTTATCTGTCTATAAAGCCTATAACAAATTAGTCTTAATGTATTTCACAATACTTCAGCATGTTATTCTTATTAAGTGAGGGTCATTTTTTAGGATTTTTTACCCAAGCAAAGTCTCTGAGAACCTGACACCTTGTAATTCTGTAAACTCCAGGAAGGTTGCAGTTCTGGAAAATGGTGGTGCTGGAGACTAAATGATTCCTGATGGTTTTACACCTAATTCTTCACATTAATTCTTAAATCTTTTGCAGTTGACGTTTGTCTTTTCTTCTCCACCTGTTTTTTTCTGACCCCGCTGACCCAGTGAGCATTTTGCTGTCCAATGGTCTTGTCTTAACTTTGCAATTTCTGTATTGCATTAGTTTTGAATATTTCTCATGGGGATTTAATCATTTTTGACTTTTCAGTCTGAGTTAAACCTCTTTTTTGGCTCATTTTATCTGTAAAAGAAAACATGCCTAATAATTCTGCACACCTGAATATAAGGAGTTTTTCACTTCCAGCCTTCATGGACAATTATATATCACTTATAAATTATTAAATACAAAATTAATAGTAGTTATTTAACCCCTTAACTGTCACCCCCCATTTTCTAAAATAGGCATGAAAGTGCACTATCCAAACTTAAATTGCTGTAATGTATGAACACTTTGGAATACAGAACTAAGGTTGGTCTCTTTTTAAAGAAGACAATCAGCAGAATTATTGAATTATGTCAAGTATCAAAAAATTTCCAAAAATTAAAGTATCAAAAATTTATAGAAGTTTAAATTTATTGTAAAGAAAATACACTACTAATTTTATTTTATATATAATAAATATTTTACACAACAGGTTTTACTCTAAAATTGTTATAAAATGTAAGCATTCTGTCTAAATAAGTTATGTTTCAAATTTGAAGTTGATATGAAAAAAATTGAGGTTTCTGTGAGATTTTATTTAGGGCGTTATACCACAAACAGCCACCGGGTGCCATCCAAACTCCATTGAATTTTTTTTAAATGCAATTTTTCTGTCAAATATGTTGAAATTTCTCTGTCAATATTGCTTCTATCACGAAATATGTAAGTCTGAGACTCCGACCTTTCCAATTATATGTTTTTTGTCAAGATTATAAAAAGTTTTGATTGTAAAAGAACGTAATGCATTTTGTAATATGACACTTGACACTGGCCGCTACGGGGGAGGAGACCGCCAAAACATTTTAAAGTACCATTTCCACGGTAACGCAATGTTCGATTTCAAAATGGTTTTCACAGAATGAATCTTGGGCTTCTTAGCTTTCAAACGATATATAGTTTATGATGATTACTAAAACATTTGATAGAGAAAAAGGACAACAACAAAAAAGAGCGCCAAGCGTCCCACAGGTGGGACGGTGACAGTTAAGGGGATTGATGTGGTTTGGAATTGGTCAAATGTGCTTGGAAAAAAAAATATCATCAGAATATCAACGTGCCTAATAATTATGCACGCGGTGTAGTACTTGTAATTAATCATGTCAGTCCTTTAAGGAAAGGGTGATAATCAGTTTATTGAAGTGTACCTAGGGCCTTAGTCATGAAACACGAGCAGAATGAATTTCTGTGTAAACTCTTGCATTTGATTTAGTGGGAAAATGTACACAAGAATGATTTATGAAAACGTAAATTAATTCCATGTACACAAATTCGTTCTGCATATGTTTCATAAGTAATATTGATAACGAAATATTTTGTGAGGGTGATTACAGACACAATGGTGCTTCTGTCCTTTCTTATCACCTTTGATAATGACACAGATGTCAGTCTAAGGTTGGTCTCTTTTTAAAGAAGACAATCAGCAGAATTATTGAATTATGTCAAGTATCAAAAAATTTCCAAAAATTAAAGTATCAAAAATTTATAGAAGTTTAAATTTATTGTAAAGAAAATACACTACTAATTTTATTTTATATATAATAAATATTTTACACAACAGGTTTTACTCTAAAATTGTTATAAAATGTAAGCATTCTGTCTAAATAAGTTATGTTTCAAATTTGAAGTTGATATGAAAAAAATTGAGGTTTCTGTGAGATTTTATTTAGGGCGTTATACCACAAACAGCCACCGGGTGCCATCCAAACTCCATTGAATTTTTTTTAAATGCAATTTTTCTGTCAAATATGTTGAAATTTCTCTGTCAATATTGCTTCTATCACGAAATATGTAAGTCTGAGACTCCGACCTTTCCAATTATATGTTTTTTGTCAAGATTATAAAAAGTTTTGATTGTAAAAGAACGTAATGCATTTTGTAATATGACACTTGACACTGGCCGCTACGGGGGAGGAGACCGCCAAAACATTTTAAAGTACCATTTCCACGGTAACGCAATGTTCGATTTCAAAATGGTTTTCACAGAATGAATCTTGGGCTTCTTAGCTTTCAAACGATATATAGTTTATGATGATTACTAAAACATTTGATAGAGAAAAAGGACAACAACAAAAAAGAGCGCCAAGCGTCCCACAGGTGGGACGGTGACAGTTAAGGGGATTGATGTGGTTTGGAATTGGTCAAATGTGCTTGGAAAAAAAAATATCATCAGAATATCAACGTGCCTAATAATTATGCACGCGGTGTAGTACTTGTAATTAATCATGTCAGTCCTTTAAGGAAAGGGTGATAATCAGTTTATTGAAGTGTACCTAGGGCCTTAGTCATGAAACACGAGCAGAATGAATTTCTGTGTAAACTCTTGCATTTGATTTAGTGGGAAAATGTACACAAGAATGATTTATGAAAACGTAAATTAATTCCATGTACACAAATTCGTTCTGCATATGTTTCATAAGTAATATTGATAACAAAATATTTTGTGAGGGTGATTACAGACACAATGGTGCTTCTGTCCTTTCTTATCACCTTTGATAATGACACAGATGTCAGTGAATCTTGCCTAGATCATAAACCGCAAAGCTTTTACTGGGATGTATTCCAACTCCAACCCAGTTACAGTGCCATTGTTATTTGTCAGTAATGAAGATACTGTTTTAGAAGGAGCACCTGTATGAACAATTGTAACAGAAAAAAGGATAGATATAATTATCTCAGTTGTATTTGAGAACAGACACTATAAAAGAGATATTTTAATGTAACTTTTACTCAATATATATATTTATATCTATGAATCATTTGGATAAGAGGAAATCTATTCAGAACTTTAGAACATTTTAATATTTAGTGTGGTAACTTATTAGGTTTCAGGTTTGTGAAATGTATATGTTTGTCTGTTTGTTTATTTTCTATTATTTTATCTGCACTCTTAATAAATTACATTGAAACACTGATTGCTTTAAAACACTGCCCTGTCCACATCCCTGTCTTTGAGAACATAAATGATTTTAGTTGCCAAAAGAGGGTGCTGTTGACTGTTGAAAATAAATTACTAGCTATTTTGGAAACCTAGAGAGTGATGGGGATAGTTAGTTAAACCAAAGAGGTAAAAGCTCTCAAACAGAATTGGATCTACTATGGCAAAGTACTGTTAATACAAGTGACTTGCTGCTGTAATCTATAGTCTGTCTCAAATAGTTACGGTCACTACATTGGTATGAATTGTAATACACCTAAATATTAAAGTGGTTTGATTAATTGCCCTCAATGTGTCCCTCTCTTAACCTCAGAAACTGATTCACCAGCTCTGATAAAGTTGAAGCAGGGAGATTGTAGCTCAGACTGTTGTTTTGTTTACTGAAGCAGTAAGCTGCTTACCCTCAGTGACTAGCTACAGGCTTCATTGACTCACTCAGCTCAACATAAGCTCTAGGACCAACTATGGCAGGATATCTGCTTGCACAGAGACGGTCCTCTTGAATGAAGTATGCAGAGCAGCCACACACCTCCCTGCACGAAGAAAAAACAAGAATCATAATCAGCATTTTTTTGTCTTGTTTTTCAGTAAAATATCTATTTAAAAAAAATCCTTAAAACAAAATACATTTACTTGAGAAACAAATCAGCATATTAAAACTTACTTTTCTTATTTTAAAACTTAAATATATTCAGAGAATAAAGAGTGTAGAGTTCAAAGAAAAATTACAAAAAAATATATATATATATATATATATATATATATATACACACATAACATACAAATCACAACAAATACATTAATTAATAAATCTCACAAATACACATATATCACGTTATCAATTAAATGAAATAAAAGGAATATTAAGTAAGCTTATATTAACACCATCCAATTAATTTTCTTGGAAAACTGGCTTGATTTGTGAACAAAACAGATGGTCCAAATGTTCCCAAGTGTAAAATAGAAAATGTCTACAAAAAATCAGACTGCCCACAATTCACTTATATTGACTTCGTTTCCGATTATTGCAACAGATAAATGTATGAGAATAATGCGATCAAATATTGGCTGCGCACAAATCTCTAAACGTGCTATTTTACAATTGACAGAAGTATACTAGGAAGCACCATGTGGGAAAAGGCTAGTGGCAACATCAGTTCCGCCCCCACACCATATACAGCTCACGCCGGGCCTGGAATATGATGACTATCAAACCATAAAAGGACAGTCATGCTCACTGCTAGGAACCTGGAGACAGTGGGAGACACGCCGCTTCACGGGGAAGTCACCCCTCGCTTACCCTGCTAGA